TTTATTAAAATGGTTTTTTTTTAATTAAAATGGTTTTTTTTTACAAGAAGTAACTGTTTCTTGTTTGAAACCAGGAGCTGCTGCGACTGTTTGGCGTGCCCTTCCTGGTGGCGCCGATGGAGGCCGAGGCTCAGTGCGCAGCACTCGACCGCGCCGAACAGACACACGGGACCATCACGGACGACTCTGATGTGTGGCTTTTCGGAGGGCGCCAAGTATACAAAAACTTCTTCAGCCAGAACAAATACGTGGAACACTACCAGTGCAGTGATCTGCAGAACCAACTGGGTCAGTGCTCGCCATCAATCGCCAACAATTTCCTATTTTCCTTTTTACTGTGTTGCCACTAAATTGTGTTGATTATTTTTGAACTTTTGTTCATGGAGTATCATGGAGAAACAAAAGTAAAAAAAAAATCAATCATATGAGATCATTGAGCTCTTTTTGTGGCCTGCTGAAATGAGAGAGTAAGGTGTTGAAACGGCGTCAGGAAAACTTCACTGCAGGAATCTGATAAGCTCATATTGGACATATCAGGGACCGGTGTTAATGCTGGTGCTGACTGATGAGGCTGTCAACAGATTGAGCACAGAATGCACACGGCTCGCTCTCCTCCTCACTCTCTCTCCATCCGTGCTCTCTCCTTCCCTCTCAGGTCTGGACCGGACCAAGCTGATAAATCTAGCGTACCTGCTTGGAAGTGACTACACAGAGGGCGTGCCAGGGGTCGGGTATGTGACCGGCATGGAGATTCTGAACGAGTTTCCAGGCCCGGGGTTGGAGCCGCTAACACAGTTCAGGTGTGTTATGTAGAGGTCAGAGGATTAATAAACATCACAGATCGTATATTTTAACTGAATGAGCGTGTGGTCTCTACCACAAATACTTGAACTTGACTTGTACTCAACAATTAATTTGGTCGTCAAAGGTTAATGTCGCCTCTCAAAACAAATGTTTGGCCTTAACAAGTGCGAAGCAGTAATTCAAGTTCTAACTAAATGTTTCTACTTGTTAATTTCACCGTTTAT